AGTGAAAGCCACCTTGTCGATGTGCGGATGTATGGAGATGGCTTGACCTGCCGTTGGCCCATAACCCGGCAACATATTCACGACACCGGGCGGAAAACCAGCCTGAAAACTCAACCACTCAACTGAAGTCTCAGAGCTGCTAAAAGGGATGAAACAGGATTGGGAGTGGATATTTTTGGTGATTGAGCTCGATCTAGTGCTTAAAATTAAAAATTGAACACTCATTAACTGGCCTCAGCGATCAACGAAGCCACATATAACGCCGTCAGGGGTGTCTGTTCGGCTGGCTTCATCACCACCGTATTACCCATCGAGAGTGCTGGTCCCAACTTCCAAGCCAACATTAACAATGGGAAATTCCACTGAAAAAATTTTTTCTCATTATAAAATTTCTACTCAGAGTAAATTAATTCTTTCTCATGATAGTTTCACAAAAAATTTTCACGTAAATCATCATCAGACCGTTGAAAGAGAGGGCATTTTCAAATATTTTGATTGAAATCATTCATCTGATATTTTTGATTGATTACAGATTCACTTCAACTTCTGCATGATCAGATCACCGCCGCCACCAAAGCAAACACAATCGGGATTCTTCGTGAAAACAAGAAGCAGCAGCAAATCAATCGCTAAACTCACCGGAATGATTTGTCCCACAACACCGACCGGCTCATGACGTGTATAGCAAAAGTAGTCGCCAGCAATTGGAATTGTTCTACCCTGATTTTTATCAGCCCAACCGGCGAAATACCTTCAATAAATCGTGTCACAACTCATGCTTCATCAACTCATCTCAGTCATTTTAATGAATCTCTATTTTTTTGACAAAAAAGCCACTCGATACACTCTTCTTACAGAAATTCTTTTCGATATGTTATCCATCCATAAGATAATTCCACAGAAACGAATGATCACCTCAAACATTTTATTGATAACGCCAAATCGGCAGTATAGGCCACTGTATACGGTTTTCCATTGTCCAACGACTCAAGACTCTGAAAGAAAAACAAACCCGATGTTCCCTTCGTGTAAAAAACAACATCGCTCCTGTCCTAACTCAAAATCTTCTGCTCACAGTTCAATGAAATAACCTTCTCAAGATTTAAAATCTATGAAGATTTAACGCCCAAGCCAACGACGGAGATAAAATGATACATAAACCCAAATAGGATCTTATGAATCTTATGTATTAATTGTATTTATAGGAATGTTAATCCTCATCAATATTATCCCGATGGAAGAATATAGAATTCATCGAAACATCTGTGACGAATGATACTGCTTAACCAATTAATGATACTAATGCTCTGATGATAGCAACGATACTGAAGAATATTTCCAACAAAATTTGCATTTTGCACAAAACTCAAAATTCGCCGCAGAATTTGGCTCCAAATGGAATCTGGTATTCAAATTTTATTTCTCCTCAACCCATTTTCCAGAAACATTTGCCTACTGACCGCTAGAAGCACCCGATCCCGCTCCATCAAGTCGGCCAGTTTATTCAACAGCACCCCTCGATCGCAAGCGTCCATGCGACGCCATGGTGAACCCATTTGGAAGGCTTGACGAGCGGCTCGGACAGCCAAATCCACATCCTCAGTATCGGCCTCTTGTACCTCGGTGATTTTCTCGCCTGTTGCCGGATCGTGAGTGGGAAAGGTTTTTCCGGACACGGAATCCTTCCATTCGTTATTGATGAATAACTGAAATTTAGTTCCAGTTCAAAATTTGCCAAGTGCTCGGTAATCTCGCTAAACTTCTAATTCTAAGGACTGTATGTCATGCAGTCCTCCTGTTCCTTCCTCTTAGCAGCTCTCAATTCTTCAGTCGTAACATTAGCCGATATAGCCTCATAGATTTATTTTATCCTCTATTATATCAACGATATGAAGTGAAATTCTTGATCTTTATTAACTCCAGCGAATTTTAAACTGAATTGTTGTAAACTGCTTCCACTGAGACAGTTGACAGAATTTCTCATTTCTTGCAAAGTCCGCGGAATTTTTTCATCTATCTCACAAATATCTTAACTTTTTTCCGGAATCCAGCTATTGTTTCATTCCGCAACGGGAACGGAACGGATAGACCGGAGGACGTCTGGTGGAGGTTTACATAAACCTTGACGACACCGTAGCCAAGAGTATGGACAGCAAATGCTTGTTAAACCGATATGGCAAGCTTAAGTGGACACATCACTGCAAAAAACACCTTCGTATATTTCGGTTCCTTGCCTCGAACCGGCTCATGGCTTGGTACTTCGGGTGCAGTTGCCTGACAGCGGATGGCGTTCCGGAGAAGCGTCTTTACGGATTGACGAATCACGCATTCGGATATTCGAAGCATTCTGCAAATTCTCGATTGGGCTGTGATTTCCAACTGCAAAGCAACGGTTGATCGTGAATCGATAGAAATACACCAACAGTATCGGTTCAGCGCAATAGGAGCATGAGGCTGTTAATCAGAGTATCACACCTCATAAATCTAACGAACCGTGATCTTATTTCGGTTTGTATTTTCTTGATTTTAGTATGATAGAGTAATTACATCATGAAGTAATTAAGTAATAACTTATTTCACTTGACGATTAATCACGCAAAGTATTCACGGTAACTGATTAATTACTCGATTGTGTTCAGTTGGCCTGCTCGCCTAGCCAGCGGGGTGACGGCGTAAATTGAGGCTA